TCTCTCTGGGTTCCTTGTACTTTGACCTCTCCCCACTTCTACTTATTTTTACCTTTTCACTTATGGGCATAACTTTTTACCCCTTGTGTTCATATTTTTTCTTCTTCCGTTGTTGCTTTCTTTGTTTCTTCCATCTTGTTATCACGCTTGCATTTTACCTATTGTCATTGTCCTTTTGTGCCTTAGCCTTTCCTCTCCTCTCTCTGTCATGTAGATCAATGATCGCGATCGATCAGAATACGAAGAACAACGAATTTCGTTTTGGGTTTCCGAATGGCTTCGCCGTTCGGATCCTTCTCCATCCAAATCGTTCCTTTCTGTTTTGCCTCATGAGAACACCCTCACGTGCCTTTTTCGACTTGACTTTTCGGAGGGTTTATAAGATTGAGAATCTGATCTTTGGGATTGGGATGATTCCTTTGCTAAACCGGAAGGAGTCTTTTCGGCTTGGGTTTGGTAGAGGACGGGACTTCGCTGTAATGCAGTTGTTGCAGCCTGTCTGGTATGCTTATGCTGGTGCACCAGGATCTTAGACCCACATGATGACTTACTTGCTGTTTTTGGGGATGGTCATACTGCAATGAGCCATGAGCTACTATTATAGGCTATTAGCCAAGCTGAATGCTGAATATTGATACTAAATGTGAATCCCAAGGCTTTCTTTCTCAATATTGGGGGGTTTGAAATATTACTTACTATTCGATTTGGGTGCCGACCCGTTACTAGTATTTGAAGACCATAAGCACACCATGCTACATAGTTACACATGGGAGTCTATGGAGTTCAATTGGTACATTAAGGGCAGGGTATATGCTATAAGATCGATATGAAATACGTACATATATGGAATGCGATATGAATCGCATACCGGTACCCACCCTCGCGGTGTTTCTCGCCGGCTCCAAGGCGGTACCCGTATGTGCTTAAGCCCCCAGGGCAAAGGGGTTTGTGTTCCTTGGATGGGAAATTGCAAATGGGGAGGCTTTTTGCCAAACTCATATTTGTTGGATGGATTTGATTAGATTGGCATGCGTTGAAGTCATTCGTGGCTGAGTAGGCTGTATATCCATCCTAGTATATACTTACTATAGAGTAGATTTTGGCAGCCTGAGGCGTTGTCACGGCGTCAATACTGCAACTCAACCATGTAATACGAGCCAGAAGAAGAAAATCATGTATATATTGAATTTCTAGCGAGAGAACGGGCTTGGGTGGAGGAAGAGTGGTCCCGAGCCGGGTGGCGTTCTGGGAATCTACTTGAATCCCACGTGCTTCTCCTGCATGGAAGTAATAATCATTTTAAGTAATATGGTCAGAGTTCGACTGATCTTCTTGACTTCTTTCTTGGGATTCCTAGTTCAGATACTTATTCTAAGGCTTACAGCGAATGCGAATCGAGGGCTCGCATACAAACCGCTGTCGGCTCTACTTCGGTCCCGTGGAATCAGCGCTCGCTGGACGATTAATGGCTGAGGGGAACAGAGCCGTGGCTGATTTGGTTGGCTAACTCCTCGGCTGATACGAGAACGAGCACGAGAGGGCCACCGTGACTGACCTAGATCACAACACCCGTCTGGGAGTTTAAGACGTCCAAATCTTATTGGGGTGACAGATTCGGTACGAGGCCATTCGTGGCTTGAAGACTGTCATGGCCGCGGAATTCAGCGGGGAGCAGGGATATATGAATGGGCGATCCAAGATTGGGGCAACGTTTAAACTGGGGATCTAGGGGTGCAGTTCTGTTTGTGGTGCTTTGGACTCGAAGCTTGAGTAGGTAAGCCAAGGAGCAGGGACGGGGAAGGAGTTCTAGGAGGACAATTGGTGCTTGGGGTGTTATATGCAGTTAAGTAAAGCAGTCTCCGGCTTCGTTAGAATCCGCTTAAGTATAGACAGCTGTGCCTAAAAGGTCAAAGCGGGGGAAATACAATTATAATTAAGGTCTTCACAGTGGGCTGATTGACGATCAGAATCTGAAGGGGATCATCACATTCTGCCTTCCTCGATGTTTGTCCCCGACAGCGCATCCTATGCCTCATGTAATGGGGCGAGATTTTATTCGAGGGAGTTGTAAAGTTCGAGGAACTACATCAGACCACCTGTTCTTAAATCCTTCTGCAATTGAGCGGTTTCGCGGAAACTGTTGGGGAATGCCCTGCTGCCCACACCTGTCCACACCTGTCCACAAATACTTCCCGTGTTAGACAATTATTCTCGGGGCTGCGGCTCATTATTCGGAAATTCGACTCAATATGTTCATGGTTAATCTGGGGGGAAATACATCCTTACAAATAGATTGGTCATACGGAGAAGGCTGCATCAGCATAGGTCGGGGCGGGTCCGGAGTGCAAGTAGGGATACACCAACTGGTGCATATAGGCGTCAAGAGCATATATAAAAATAGAACGACTCACCTTCAAGTTTTATTACGAAGTCCCAAGAGACTGTACCGTTGCTATAGTTTGGAGACCATGGGATGAACTGCTATACTTTATAGTTATATCAGTTTCGATATAGTGGCCGAAGGTCGACGTTTTGATGAATCGCCGTCGTAACCGTCGCTGATCCATATTATGACTACTTTCGTGAATCATTTTTGTTGTTTTAAGGCTACAGGAATTTGGAAGCAGTGCACCGGGCTACAACTCGGTGCCATGGCAGTAACTACTAACGGGTTCATAGGCCTCAGCTCCGGATATTCAGTTGAGACTGACCTCTGGATTGTAGCTTGCGCGTACTTATGAACAAAGTAATCTGTTCGCGGTTTTGCGCCATCATTAGGCGTCGTCTAGAGCCGATCATCTATATATCTAAGCATGTATAGCCATAATGGGGTAACTTTAAATACCTAAGGCAATGTTTGCGCAGGTCTTTTAACCGATGTTTTCTAGGAAGCCTACAGTCATGGCCTCATGCTCATCCCGACCCCGTCCATATGCTTCAGAGCTTCTTACCCCGAATCCGTAAGAGGAATATTAGTCAAATTGAAAAGCCGAAGCATAATTGGCTCATTATGTACGCAGGCGTCCGACCCTTGCAGGGTATCTGTTCACGACAAGATAGTAGCGGATAGTATGAACGAAGTATCTGGGATACAAGCCGGATACTTCCGCTTTTGGATACTTGGCGCTCCCGCCCTCCTCTTTCCCGCTGGGGACAGTGCTTTCCTGGATCAGATTAAGCGAAGGAATCCAGGCCCACGATTCTTAAGATGTAGTTCATGACTGTCAGTATGATGTCATAGGAGGTTGGGGGAGAGGGAGAAGTGAGCCTGCGTAAAGTACGTCGTTTGATCGATATACATGACAAGGAATTCTCAGCCACTGCAGAAAGTGGAGTGAGTATCTGTCACTTAGGAAAGTAGGGGTAGGTGGAAGTAGTAAATGACAGCACATGCCAGCTCAGTATAGGATTACAGGTAAGATTCTCTCCCGGGGAGGGGCTGGTGGATATTGACTGACCTCATTATTTCATATCAACATCATTAGTTTACGTAGGATAGGAGAGATTTCTAGATGAGATTTCTAGATGATGGTATGCAGTTTGAAATCCGCTATTCGCTACTTTACGGTGTGTGGACCTGTGACTTCGTTTCATGGAACTAACGGCGTGCTGGTAATCAGGCAATGGACTTGAATGGAGAAATCATCACGCGAGTATTATATAAGCGAATTGAATTTCTCCTGAAGCTAGTACGACGGCTGACTTTAAGATTTGGTCTAACCAAAATTCTTCGTACTGCAGCTTTAATGCCACTTTCGTCCGTTTGCATTATCCCAGATACAAATTATTTGCAATTAAACCTCAAGAAGAACTCGATACGAATTATCGGAGAATTCTCAAGTGACGTACAGTGTCCAATGCTAAACTGACAGATTGATGTCGGACCATGCGATTGAACCGCGTTCTTCTGGAAAACCAGTGTCGCCTGTAAGTTCTTGCATTCAATTCGTCCGTCCAATGAAGCATGTTCAACCGTTTATTAATCCTACCCCTTTAGGCTCAGGAATGTTTCAAAAATAACCAAACTCATAATTTGACGATTGTTTATTCCATATCTTTCGTTCAGGATGTTTGAACTACCTGCAAAAGAAGGAACGAAACTTCCAACATTTCTTGGTAATTGCAGTCCAGGTACGCTGAATGAATGATCAAGACAAGTACTCTAGCTCTTTTTTGTCTTGTTCCTGCTTTATAGAGGCTCCCACTCCACTTGCCTTTAACAACGATGTACCTGACTTTCTCGGTTCCCCTCCGCATTGCATTGATCGCATAATGAAAAGCGTTGCCGAAGCAGTTGATCGACAAATCGACCTACGTATTTGGCGAATATGCATTTTCCGATCTGATATCCTGTGTCCAAGCCTGATGGGAAGTGTCAATGCATTTAGGCAGCGTCCATCCAAGTCGTTTTCAAATGAAGGGGGGGATTTTCTGTCGATGATGAATCCAATCAAGAGTTTTATTGCTGCCTCAACGAGAAGATCAACAGTCTGGGCCAGGGTGAGGTCTTCTAATGTACTTTGTCACCGGACGAGGTTAGTGGAGCGGTTATTTAACTTCCAGGTATAAGGTTTGGTTATAATAAAAACTTCCCATGCAGAGCCTCAGCAGAGGTCATAGGCCTGTTCCGATCTCGTCAGGATCGCATTTACCTCAACGAGCAGCTGCTATTTATCTTTTCTGCCACCGAGAATACCTTTTCGAGAGCTCATCCAACAGGATATCGACGTAATTTCTCTCATCTTTTATTATGGACTGATCCACATTACAGTCGACGTCTACCCGCGGTAAGTCGTCGGCGGCTCAGTGGGTTCTTCCTCGTAGAGTAAGTGACTGACGGCTCCCGATCATTGCACGTGTGATTCGCTTGACCTTCTTTCTTCCCTCATAAGTACATAGAACGACATTTCTGTTATTTTTAAAACCTAACTCTCCACAAATTTTCGCTCGTCATTGTGCCCCCCTGCGTGACGTAGCGAAAAAGAAAATCAAATGGTGACTCTCAGGTAGTATAGTGGTTAGTATTCGCGCCTGTCAAGAGTTCAACTCTAGAGCGCGCGAGACCGGGGTTCAATTCCCCGCCTGAGAGATTATTTTTGATGTTTTTCTATGTAAAGTTTATGCAGAGTCCAAAGTATCGCGTGAGAAAGGGAACTTACGTTGCGCGGGAATGCGCAAGTGAGATCTGTGACAACGCGGTGTGACGGTCACTGCGCCAACCACAGTTCTTCCGCTCCTTCACACCACCACGTTCTTTCTGCAGCCTAACAAACATCCAAACCATAATATACACCATGCTCGACACTCAAGCAGTCTCACTCCTCACTTCCCTATCCACAGACTACATCCCCTCCCCACTCGAAGCCCTCTCCATATCCACCTGCCTCACAACCATCAGTTCATCAATGACTACCCTAGACAGCAAACTACTCTCTTTAACAAACGAGCTGAATACCCTTCTCTTCGCGCGACAAGGGCTAGTCAAAGAAGCCTCAATATACCACGCCGCGCTCTCACCCATGCGTCGACTCCCCGCAGAGATGATGGGCGAAATATTCCTCCACTGCATCGCAAATTCAATTGATCCTTCAAGCATCGCTCCATATCATATCACACCTCACACCGCGCCGCTTATCCTTTTACACGTCTGTCGCCGCTGGCGCAGGATCGCGCTCGATACCCCCCGCCTTTTCTCGACATTCTCCCTCTCGCCTGATCGGCCTCTCGATCCTCTTATTCTCCTTCCGTTGTGGCTTGTGCATTCGAAGACAGTGCCGCTTGATATCACGCTTGACTTTAATATACCGACTTTAAGGAATATGGTTATGAAGATACCAGCTGAGACTCTCTCGGATACTATGGATATGGATATCGTCGATGCTTTGGTCCCGAATACGGATGCGCAAGTATGGAGGCTATTATCAGACAGCTTACCCCGTTGTAGGAAACTCTCCCTCCTCGGAATCTTCGGCTTTCGTTTCCTCCAAATCGTGATACCCCCCGGAACGCAAGCCATCATGCCAGCTTTACAAGAACTCAAGCTCGAAATCGGCGCCTCCTCCCCTCCGCCCTCCAAACCTGCCTTTCGCTCGCTCCTCCCCGACGCAAATATCGCTAGTATAATCAGCGCCCCTTCCCTCGAACTCCTGCACATAACCAACCACGAAAACCACGAAAACGCATTCTCCCGCGCCTTGCCCATCAAACTCCAATTCACCGCTTCTCGAATCCGGCACCTTCATTGGGGGAATATGGAGCCCCGGCCGTTCAACCTCGCTCTTATGCTACCAAAATACCCGAATCTGGAAACATGCGTCGTATCCGGGCTCCTTCCCTTCGCTTCAAGTTCTGAAGTTCTCGGTTTCCTATCTATGCCCCCTATCGCCTTACCTTACTTACGCGCCTTGCGAGTCGAATGGACGTTCTCTGGATATGACGGTGACGGCGATCCCAGCCGCAGCGAGATGAACCTCCTCCTCGAGCTTCTCCGCGTGCCGTCGTTGGAGGACTTAAGCTTGTCTTGCGCCACGCCGGCGGGACTCGGGGCGTTTTATCTACGCGATCATACCTGTGAATCTGGGCTTTTCTCTCTTGTGACGGCGAGCGGAGGGCCGAGCCGTATTCGGTGCTTGACGATGCGCGGGATTGTTGTTCCTTCCGACGGGTTTATCATGATTCTGCAAGAGATGCCTCTTCTCGAACGGCTGAAGATCGATTCGGGGGGCGTGGACGGTATGCTTCTGGACGCATTGAACGTGCATCTGCATGGTAGGGCTAGAGGGCCGCTTTGTCCGAGGTTGTCATCGATTTCTTTTACGAGGCTTTCGCGGAGTTATCATTATTATAGTTCGACTGAGAAGCTTCTTTGCATGGTACGCAGTAGGGTGGTTGGGTATGAATTGGGGCTGGGATGTGCGAGGTTGTGCGCTGTGGAGATTGGGTATATGAAGAGGAAATGGACGAGGAAGCAGATGCAGGCTGTGAAGGAACTCGGGAGGCAGGTTGTTATTTCGCTGATTGAGGAGAAGGATTGAGTGGGGGGCGTTTATTATTTCAGGATGTCGTGACTACGTAGGCTTTTTGGTATTAAGGTTTTGGGAGATTGGGTAGGGTGCATATGGTTTGAGTCGTATCGAGAGAGAAATTTGTGATTGATGAATAACTATTACTACTTGATATGTATGTTTTTTGAAAGTTAACGTTCCTCATCCATCCATACTGCAAAGAAAGCGTAGTTTAATAACGTATACGGAGAGGAAAAAAGAATTCTCACAATAATCAGAATGAAAGGTACCGTAGCTAGCTTCCGTTCTGGATATTCAACGAATCAATCAGCCTGAGCTTCAGAATGAGGGAACATACGAGATAGCAACCTATTTGGAATTGCTGTAGTATCCTACCAGGCAAACAAGCAAAGTAAATTCTCATTCTCACTGTGCCATCCCAATCTAAGTAATAATCGCGTCAACTTTAACCCGGCGTAGACGCAGCTCTGAACACCATCTTTGCAAATGGCGGATCCACTGGATTGGTAGTCGTTGATTGTATTCGCATGGTAGCTACTCACGATTTCCGCTAGCAATTTGGGTTGTGTTTCATATAAAGCTGGAATTTGAGAAGGTGTCGAACGACGGATTGACAGGTTGTGGATCCTGTCAATCTCTCGGAAGACTTCAAGTGATCCAGACCCTGAGGTAAAAATGAAAGGCCGTCTGCGCAAGCAATAGTAGTATTCCCGTCGGTAAAGCTTCTGTCACGCGCGGATTCTCCATAGAACTACGGAAGGCCAACGTTGGCATATTGTATCTTCGCATATGTATATATACTGGATAAGATTCTCTAAATAAAGACGCGCGCGCGGGGTATCCGGAGTGGGTATCAGATCCAATGATCATGATCATGCGTCCGCTGGCACGCAAGGAGTCTATAGTCTATTGGCAGGAAACGCTTTACCTGGCTAGTATCTCGGAGTAAAAGTTGCTATGTGGCAAAGGAGAGGAAGACGAGGAATCCAGCGGTGGAGGAGGGCCCGAGTAAACGCCATGGACGAGGGATCATTGTCACTGCCGCGTGAGAGGTGGGTGTGCTTGATGAACGCGAGAAAGTCTGGATGGCCGACGTCGAGAACCCTGGACGCGGTGTTCAGAGACGCATGCTGGGGAACCGGTACAGATGCGGTCCGACCAGTGGCGATGGGTGTGGGCTTGCATGCGCGCAGCGGTATGTATGCAAATGTCGCTGAGAAGACGGCTTTAAAACCCCCACAAGGCGTAGGGTGCCGATTCGGACGACGGGACGCGTGTCCCGGACATCTCGAATACCATGTGCTGGATTGGATTGGTGGGGACATTATCGTGCTGGGCGATGGGGAAGACTGGAGAAACTGGAGACGAAGACATGTGCAGCGTTCAGCGAGGAGTTGAATGGAATAGATAAGGCCCGTTCAGCACGACGTCCGCTTTGTCAGTTGTGTGCTTGATGTGGAAGGCGTTGTCCCTGTTCCTAGCTATTGTACTGCACCCCGCATATCAACACAATGCGTTGTATCCGTCGTCGTTGTCGTCGTCGTGGACATTATCATTGTTGTTGTTATCTCGAAAAGAGTTTTTTATTTTATTTTGTTGTGTTTTGGGGATGGCGTCGGATCGGCGTCGATCGGCTGAACGAATTTGGAAGACGAGGACTCGGTCACGTGACCTCCGAGCAGCTAATTGCCTCAATGCCTGAATCGTTTCCTCCGCCTCTTAATGCCTTTGCAGCCGTCTCTCCGCACTTCTTTCTGACTTCTCCATCGTAAATCCCATCCCCGCCGCCGTCCACAGCCTAGAGCCCATTCCGCTCATCGTCTACCTCGCACCGCATTCACCGTTCACCAGCCCCCTTCGCCGCGCACACCAGCGTACACTACATCACCCACCATGTCTACCACATCCACCAAACCACCTCCACCCGCGCGCAAGCCTCGCAAGCCCACCGTCGTCTACTCCCTCCTCAGGCAAGACGATGGCACCTACCAACACCTCCAGTTCCCCTCCTCATCGACCCCCACTCCGACGACGACCCCAGCACCCTCGACAACACCCGCACCCATCGCTACTTCTTCTTCCACACCTCACCCACGCATCCAGACCCACGTCGACGTCCTCAAAGGCCTCCAATACATCTCCATGCCCCGTGGCGTACCGTCCAACTTCTACACACACCGCCCCACGATCTCCGAGATGGAACGAGCGAAGGAGCGACAGCGCGGGATCGACACAGCGCAGGCCGTCTTCATGGCCCAAGCCTCCTCTGGTGGCAAGACCACGAAGCGTCCTAAACGCGGCGCTGGCGACTCCACAACGGGTGCGGCCACAGGGAAACGTTCCCCCGCGAAGAAAAAGGCGACCACCGCAAAGAGTAGAGCTGCTATGAAGAGAAGTATGAAACCCACGCCGAGAGCAGAGACGACGGAGGGCCCTGTTGGTGACGACGCCGCCGCCGCCGCCGGGCCTGCTAGGAGGGTTGCGCGTCGTAAGACGCAGCCTTCGAGTCTCGGCCCGAATCGAGTTACGAAGACACGCTCGAATTCTAAGACGAAGCCTGTTGGCGCAGGCGCAGCAGAAGTCGACGTCGAATTGGTGGAGTCCGAGTCTGCTATCCCCCCCACAACCACCAAATCCCCATCCCCATCTAAAGGAAAAGGAAAAGGAAACGCAAAGGAACGCAATCCCAGCCCCAAATCCATCCCACCTCCCATTCCCAACACGCAATACGCATCATCATCATCATCTTCCTCCTCCGTCTCACCCATCCTAACGCCCAGCCCCGAGCTGCATCACGCCGTCGAGATCATCTCCGACTCGTCCCCAAATAACATGGAAATCGACATCACAACAGGAATAGAAGTAAAGAAGGAGCTTCTCTCCGTCACCGTCACCGATATCCCCGTGCCCGCCCCATCACACTCCCCCTCGCCCGCGCCCTCTGTCCCGAGCAGCAAGAGGAAGAGAAGCGGCACGAGCAGTACCGATACTAGTGGGACTTCGGAGGTGGTAGAGATGCCGACGTCGACGACGCGGAGTGGGCGGGTCGTCAAGAGGCGGAAGA